CGTGACGAACTCTAGCTCAAGTCCCCTCAAAGCCGTCAATATGGTGTAGAAATATACCAAGTTGGACGAATCTTATTGTGGCCTGCTGGTCCAGTGGCTAGCTGGTCCAGTGGCTAACGCGACGGTCTGGAGTTTTGAGAGACTCTGACCGCGGGTTCTATCCCCACCCGTGATATGGTTTGTTTACAATCGTGTCATTACGGTTTCGTGAGTCACTCCCATCGTTAATTGCCATTAGCTAACAACTCTGGGAGAGTCCAAGTACTTTTCCAACCCTCAGGAGGTTACGATCCCATTTCAATCCGTCGAGAAAAGATTTAGAGTCGCGTTGCTAACGCCTGTTTCATGGGGTTGGATTCCCCTTTTACACGTGTCAATATAGGCTTTGAATCTGTGTTAAATCTAAATTCCAAGCCTATTTAAGACACTGCTTTTGGAATAAAGGATTTAGATCACCTCAGAAAGAGTTACGATTCTACATAAGCAGAGGTAAGACTGACTTCTTAGACACAAAGGATTCCCATTCTCCACCTTATCTAGGATACAATTTTCGCCTCTAAACGCACGTTTTATCCAGCACCCTTTTAACCCAACAGTGTGTGTGTTCTCAGCTGGTTTCGCCCGCTGGTTTCGCCCGCTACTGACTACGTCTGGAAACGAATGGCTGAGGTGGAGAGAGAGTCGATATGCAGAGAGGAATTTAAGTGTGACTAAAGCTTATTCCTGATTTTTGATGTTATACCACGTAAAGAAGAAAGAAGAGAAAGAAGCTTGTCAGTTTTGATGCTACAGCCCCTAAAGAAGAGAAAAAAGAGGTGTAAAAGAGAGGATAAACAGATAAAGAAAGAGAGGTGTTGGCAGCCTCAGCTTAAAGACTGATAATATACATAAAGAAGTGAAAGAATTAAGAAGAAAACGTCTTTACGTAGTAAACAGCATCTTTCAGGTTCATCTCTGCTGACAGACTCCATCTTACCCACCCACAGCAGTCGACGAGAAGGTAAGGAACACCTAAGTCGCTCCTACATGGAAAGCATTGAAATTAGCAGCTTCCAGATATGTCAGGCGAATGTTGAGATCAGTGTTACATAACCCGCACATAGAGGAGCTTACGACGACGTTTCGGTCCCACTTTGACCATTTATGAAGTCACACTGACAGAAAAGAGTGAGGGATAGGGACGGGACCAAGAGAGGAAGAATAAGAACACAAGGAAGGAACACTGAGGCAGGCCTACTGACCCATGCAAAGCAGGTCATAATAAGTAGTAGTAGTAGTAGTAGTAGTAGTAATAATAGTAATAGTGATAGGGTGAAAAATCTATATTAACACCTATGGGGTACAAAAACATAGCTAGTTGAGTGAATGTTATTGTAGCCAACCGGTCAAGTGGTTAACGCACTGTCCTGTGAATTATCGGACTTACCATGGGTACACCTCCCACTCGTTCCCTGAATTACGAATGCTAGGAATATTGGGTGAATGCTTAGATCAATGTGTTCCGGACACTAACTTGGGATTAGAAACTATTTAAACCAAAGGTTCTGTAACGTAATTCCTAGTAATGGCAGGTAGGACTAGATTAGGATAGATAAAATTAAGATAGGATCTGATAGGTTAGGTTAGAATAGGTTAGGTTAGGTTAGAATGGGTTAGGTTAGAATAGGTTAGGTTAGGTTAGAATGGGTTAGGCTAGGTTAGAATAGGTTAGGTTAGGTTAGAATGGGTTAGGATAGGTTAGAATAGGTTAGGTTAGGTTAGAATGGGTTAGGTTAGGTTAGAATAGGTTACGTTAGAATAGGTTAGGTTAGAATGGGTTAGGTTAGAATAGGTTAGGTTAGAATGGGTTAGGCTGGGTTAGAATAGGTTAGGTTAGAATGGGTTAGGTTAGAATGGGTTGGGTTAGGTTCGGAGAGGTTAGGTTAGGTTAGATTATTAAAAAACAAAATACTGCCGACAAGGGGAAATAAGTACAAATACATAACTTAAGACGTATTTACAGAAGACTTCTCAATGTTAAGATTAGGTCCCAGGGGCGAAACGTGCTCAGTAAGTCCAAATATGCATTCACCACCATTTTCCTTATCAGTAAATGAGTAAGACACATGTGCCACAGTCAGGTATCTTTATTTCCGTCATGTTTCGCTCAACCCATGTATGCGAAACGTCTCGCCTAGATATCTAACTATTGCACATGTCATCAGCTAATCTGTATTGTACACTATTATCGTAAATTGATAATTTTCTTCACTATTTTTCAATAGCTTTCCAGTGGGTCGCGAATCGCTAGGTGCACCTTTGTGTGAATCACAAAGTCGTGTGATTTTTTTAAGAAATCCCCTATTAAATCCGATTAATGCTAGTGTAGTGGATTTGTATCCTGCAATTGATTGGCATGCAACTATACTAGATATCGCTACTAAGTTGCTTAGATGTAAAATAGATAACTTATGCAGTAATATAACCCTCTACGGAAGCTACAATGGTGCCAATGGTACGGCAGAGAAAGCGTCTCAAATGCTACTTAGTGTGAATAAAGGGGTAATATTTACAAAGGTACAGAATAACCACAGGGGGGGAGTAGAATGATAGCCTTTCCACACCCCCCTGTGGTTCCTTTGTATCTTGTATCGCTTGTTAGCGATATTTGCATAATTTACAAAGGTGTTTCTCCTTAGTCCTGTGTACGGGAATTTGTTTAAATTCTCTCTCTCTCTCTCTCTCTCTCTCTCTCTCTCTCTCTCTCTCTCTCTCTCTCTCTCTCTCTCTCTCTCTCTTTTGTTTCCCTCTTTTGACAGGTGTGAGAACTGGTTCTACATGTGTAACCTCTGGAAATGCCAACGATATCTGTATAAAATTTGTTATGGGCAGTATTTTGTCCAGAGGTGCGAAGATATGTACATTTGGAAAAGAGGTGCCAAACAAGGTCGAAGGAGAAACATAGTCAGCTTGATCAGTTAGACACATGTGCGAAACGTGAGTATCTTTACTGTCAGAACGTTTCGCCACGCAGCGGCTTCATCAGTCCAAAACATCGACTCCAGGCTATGGGACTGATTACTCCCACAATCTTCAGTTCGTCACTATCCCCCTCCGTATTGAACCGTTGAAGCTACTTATGGGCGAAATGTTCCTCAGTAAAGATACCCAGGTGTTGCACATGTGTCTGTACCAACTTTTCGGTTCTCTGAACCATATATCGACATATCTGACACGTATTTCAATTCCGCTTAAAATTCAATTTTTGAAAAAACCCGAAAGAATTGATTCTGAAGCCAAAATTCTTTGGTTTTTTATTAATAAAAATCCCACGCCATAAAAATTATGTACACTATCAATATATATATATATAATATATATATATATTTAGTTTGCAATAGAGAAAAAATCTCAGCTAGAAGCTATCCTAGTCAGCTATCGTAAACAAGCGTCCAGCTAAAGGCCTTAAGCAAGCAAAGAAGTATTGAACTCTTTAAACAGGCTATTCGATACCTCAAACGATTATGTAATGTAATCCCCTTGCTGCCCCTATCCCTCCCTCCCTTCCAAATCCCTATTGATGCTTACAGGAATCGCCAACTTATATAGCGTCATCAATAGGGCCCGTATCTGCTAACAGAAATCACCAAATTGAATAGGGAATACGATCCTTTTTGATGACACTAACATAAATCGATCCCTATTGACGGCGATTACATAAATCACCAAACTGGATAACGTAAACGGTATGTAATCGCCCGTAGTTACAACGAAAACACATTTCGCTTCTCTTGCGTCACGAAGACTTGAACACATAGTTGAGAACCGTTGACTTTGAGGCTTGGGTAATAAGAACGTGTCGCCCGTTAAGGGATTTACCCATCGCTTCGCCAGGCAAAGGGGTGTATCCGTTGTTTTGCCCACCAAGGGGATGTATCAACCCGTCTTTTTGCCCACCAAGGGGATGTATCAACTCGTCGTTTTGCCCACCAAGGGGCTGTATCAACCCGTCGTTTTGCCCACCAAGGGGATGTACTAATCCGTCGTTTTCCTCACCAATGGATTGATGAAATCCCTGGTGGGCCAAATGTTGGCCTGACAAAGACCTTGATGGGCGAAATGCCTCCTTAATAACCTAATTACTTTTACATGCCAGAATTGTGACCTTGGTGAGAAGTTGGCGAAGACAGATGGAGATGGCGAAACAGAGGTCCCTGGAGGTCACCTGAAGGTCATCAGGTCACCTGAAGGTCATCAGTTTACCTGGAGGTCATCAGGTTACCTGGAGGTCATCAGGCCACCTGGTCACCTGGAGGTCACCTGAAGGTCATCAGATCACCTGGAGGTCATCAGGTCACCTGGAGGTCATCAGGTCACCTGGAGGTCACCAGGTCACATGGGTTAAAAGTAAGTCGTCAGGTTCTCCAGGACCACTGGAACCAGAGGACCACTGGGATCACTGAGACAACAGGACCACTGGGGTCATAGGACCACTGGGACCATAGGATCACTTGGACCAGAGGACCACTGAACCATAGGACCACTGGGACCAAAGGACCACTCGGGCCATAGAATCACTGGAACCACTGGATCACTAGAACCACTAGGACCACAGGGGCCACAGAACCACTGGACCTATAAGACCACTGGAACCACAGGACCACTGGAACCACAGGACCACTTTAACCACTTGGTCATTAGAACCACTGCGACCACAGGACCACTTGGACCACAGGACCACTGGGATCATAGAACCACTGGGACCACAGGACCACTGGGACCCTGAATCCTAAGATCAGTCATTTCATGGGAAGCGTTAAACCCGTAGGAGTCATATAGCACCTGGTATGCACTGGTTATCTGGTATACCATAGTTATCCCTAACCCCCTGTAATACTCTAGTTATCCTTTACATCCTGCTATACCCCAGATATCCCTCAACACCCCTTGGAATACCCCATCTTAATCCCATCCTACCCTAAAACCTTCCCACCCTATTCCCCTCCCATCCTAATCCCATCCTACCTAAAATCCCAACCCACTCACCCAAAATCTGTAATTTGTTAAGATTCAATATGTTAAATGAAGATCCCTAAACAAATGAAGCTTTTTGGGTTCAATTTTGGTGAGACGTCTAAAAAATCATCTAAAAAGTCATCTCAAAAATCATGTCAGAGAAAAATTCATCTCAGAAAAACTCATCTCAAAGAAAACATACTGACATCTATCAATTTTCCCTTCAAGAGTAACAGCTTGATGCTGAAGGGGTCTTGATCCAAAGAACCTGAGTTATTCTTCCCTCCTTCAGATCAAACCTAACATCCTCCCATTTACCAGGCGCTGTATGACCCCTTTAAGGCTTCAGTAATTGTAAATTGATTACCTAATCTCATTTGGAATATTGGTGAGATGCTGTCTAGGAATTCCTGTGGTTGACTGTAACTCGATCTTAATTGAAAAGAAGAAGAAGAACATGAACGGAACAATGGTATTGCTAAGAGATAACAGATTTGTAGAGTAGATACAGAGAGAGAGAGTGAGTTTAAACGAATAAATGGGAAAGAGAGATACCAGAGGACTTGGAAATCCTCACCAATTGTATCCGCTGAGAAGAATTATCTACTATAAAGAGAGAGAGAGAGAGAGGGAGAGAGAGAGAATGTGAGCAAGGAGCACACCAAGGAGGTCCTCAACATCCTCCTTACATACAACCATGTCAAAGGAAACGCAAAACATTCAATTTACCTCGTATAAAAATAACGACTCTAGATCACAACTTATGAAGGAGATTCTAGATTTATTAGTTTCTAGTTTTAGCTTACTACTTCTAGTTATGATGCGGTAACAATATACGTATTGCTATGCTTATTGCTTAAATATATTAATGTGGTTACTGCTAATCATCGTTCTGAGAGATTTCGACCCTAATGCCTTGTCCCTTCATGGAGGGAGGGAGGAGGAGGTGCTGCCACTGAAGGACTCTTGATCTAAGGAACTGGAGGTAGCTTCCCTTTTCTCCTCTCATCAAACTTGATTGGCCTCTCGTTCCTCAGGCGCTGTTTTACCCTTACGGCTGTACCGCTCCCCCATTAAAGTACCATGAACATTACAAGCTAGTGCCTATTGTAACCTCTTTATAGTTGTATTTAATACAAATTGTGTGATAATCGAAATACGAAATACAGCTGTTGTTTATACAAAGTCACTTGTTTACAAAGTCACTCGTTTACAAAGTCACTCGTTTACAAAGTCACTTTTTTACAATGTGTTCAAAAAATAATTAATCTAAAAAGCAACTGCTAGCAAAGTAACTTACAAAGTAATCAGCTTACAAAGTCATTTTACAGCAGCTTGGGAGTCTTCGGAAACGTGCATTTGTAAACGATGATCAAGAAAGTTCATATGTCTGAAGGTGACGGACATTCATGGGAGAGTGAAAAAAAAATGTGTAACTTTCCCGAACATGACCCACAGACATGCTCACATCAACCTTTGTAGAGCTCTCCAGAGGCTCTGTTCGGCTTGGATTTCCAGAAGTTTAATTAGGCTTTCCAAGGATTCCTTTGGTTTTCCAGAGGCTCTGCTCGGCTTGGATTTCCAGAGGCTTTGCAGTTGTTCCAGAAGTTTAATTAGGTTTTCCAAGGATTCCTTTGGCTTTCCAGAGGCTCTGTTCGGCTTGGATTTCCAGAGGCTTTGCAGTTGTTCCAGAAGTTTAATTAGGTTTTCCAAGGATTCCTTTGGCTTTCCAGAGGCTCTGTTCGGCTTGGATTTCCAGAGGCTTTGCAGTTGTTCCAGAAGTTTAATTAGGTTTTCCAAGGATTCCTTTGGCTTTCCAGAGGCTCTGTTCGGCTTGGATTTCCAGAAGTTTAATTAGGCTTTCCAAGGATTCCTTTGGCTTTCCAGAGGCTCTGTTCGGCTTGGATTTCCAGAGGCTTTGCAGTTGTTCCAGAAGTTTAATTAGGCTTTCCAAGGATTCCTTTGGCTTTCCAGAGGCTCTTTTCGGCTTGGATTTCCAGAGGCTTTGCAGTTGTTCCAGAAGTTTAATTAGGCTTTCCAAGGATTCCTATGGGTTTCCAGAGGGTTCGGCTTTTCACTGGTTTAGCTAGGCCTTTTTAAGGTTCCTTTGGGTTTCCAAAGATTAGGCTTCCCATGGGTTCCTTTGGGTCTCCAGAGATTGACTTAGGGTTTGCAAGGGTTCCTTTGGGTCTTCAGAGGCTTCCATTCCAGCCTTGTGAGCACTGGATAACTGAGAGTACTGGAGCACTGTGAGTACTGGAGCATTGTGAGTACTGGAACACCCGATGAGTATTAACACTGAGTAACGGAGCAGTTTATGAGTACTGGGAAAATCGTGAGTACTGGAAAAGCCGTGAGTACTGGAAAACCGTGAGTACTGGAAAACCCGTGAATACTGAAAAACCCGTGTGTACTGGAGCACCGTGAGTACTGGAAAACCCGTGTGTACTGGAGTGCCGTGAGTATTGAAATACCGTTAGTACTGGAGTACCGTGAGTGCTGGAGCACCGTGAGAACTGGAGCACCGTGAGAACTGGAGCACCGTGAGAACTGGAGGACTGCAAGCACTGTTCTGTGAGTCAGCTCAGGAAATACACTTGTGTTTCTCGTCAAGAATTCATTATTAAAGACCATTTTTAGGCCTAATTAGGCCTCAACTTCCTGTTTCTGTTGAATAGCATTGTCTATAATTTACAGAGAATTAAAATACGACATTTTTACTGTTTTGTTGGTGTTTGATCCTACGCAGTCAGAGATTCGAACCCCATATAAAATGGGCCTTGAATTCGTTTGATCTGTGAATTTGTTTTTTCCGAAGATTTTTTGCACTAAGTGGAAAGGGAATTCCCAGAATTATTTTGTGAGTATTAAGAAGGCAAATGCCTAGAGACAGCTTTAGGAAGATAGCCATGTATGTGTCAGGACACGTTTCATTAAGATGTTTCGGTCCTGGGACGATGTTTTGATTGTTAACAAGGTCCACATGCCCGAAAAGTCTTTGGTGTATTTCAAGTGAAGGCATCCACGTCCGTTTCCCTCGTTTTTCTGTCTACGAAAAGCCGGTAATGTAGACGACGTAGTAGGTTTCTTGGTCTACAAGACGGTGACAAGACGCGTGATTCACTTCGCAAAAGATAATGGCTTCAGTTGCAGCCGAGAGAAGCTGGTGATTGAAGAATTGAATTGAGTTAAGATTTTGGTGGGTGTCATGTAAACAAATCCGGCCCTGGTGAAACAAATCTGGCCCTGAATAAACTAATCCAGCCCTGGTTAAACTAATCCAGCCCTGGTTAAGCTAATCCGGCCCTGGTTAAGCTAATCCGGCCCTGGTGAAACCAATCCGGCCCTAGATAAACTAATTCGACCTTGGTCGGTCTGGTTCCACCCAGCTGGTTCCTCATCTCTCATATTCAACACTCATCTAAATATTTTTGATGTTAACCACTAGGTGGCATATGGCCCTAATCATGTGATAGATAGAGTTTAAACCTAGCAGGCTAAATAGTTTGCTTTGGCTGTATAATTTCCAGTTATTACTTTTTAGAAATTGATGTAGGAATACCAGCCATTGCTATCTCTACATTTTCAGGGTTCGTTTATCGTTAATTTTGATCTCGTAGAAAGTAGATCACATGGTGAAAAAGAAGACACGTTGTAGAACAAGTATATACTGGGACGTTTCGCTCTTCACGAAGTGTTTTCGGGGCAAAACGTTGTCCCAAACTTGTTATACAACTTCTTATTTTCTCCATTAAGATGAGAAACTTGCTACTTTGTTGTGGGATTATAGGGCCACAGAATACCTTATGCCGTATTGAATCCTAAATACCTTGCTAATACAAGATTAAACAGACCATAGAAATCCACGGTGTCGTTCGTTATGTCTTTAAGACCACGGGGATCAGGTCGTTACCATGACTTCCGTACTATACAATGCCACATAAAAATCACAGATCACAATATTGAATAATAGTATAAATTTTACAGGAGCAAAATAAAGCACTTGTTTTTTTCGCTGTTAAATTTTAGTGCACCTTCTGGAAGATCTGCTAAACTACCTGTCAGGTTACCTGACCTTATTGCCAAGTCTTAATTCAGGTCACAGATCCACGTGTGAGTTAGCGGGTATGGCCACTTTAAGGTTTATAGATTGCGTATTCGTGGCCATACCTCGGCCCACCGTGGGTTGAAGTTGTGGCCACTTAGGTCCACAGTAGGTACAATTGGATGGCCACACACAAGTTCATAGGTGTGGTTGGCCTGGTTCAGGGACCCGGGGAAGTGCAAATTTCTCCACAAGCACCGTCCCTGTAGCACGCTGACTCGTAGTGTTTGTTGAGGTACGACTTGAGAGCGAACGACTTGTTACAGCGTTTACACCTGAAGTTCTTGAGCTGGGAATGCGTCTGCATGTGTGCGCGCAGATTGGATCGGTCGGCGAAGGACTTACCGCAGTGAGCGCACCCGAAAGGCTTCTCCCTGTGTGTGAGCGCATGTGGCCTTGTAGCAACCAGGGGCGAGAGAACGCTTTGCCGCACACGCCGCACCGATGCGTCAGGTTATGCGTCAACACGTGCATGGCAAGTGCCGGCATGCTGACGTACGCCTTCCCGCAGACGTGGCAGCGACGTGCGTTGCCGGAGTCGAGGTCGCGATGCGTCTGTTTGTGCCGCGAGAGATTTGAGGAGGTCGCGTAGTGCTTCCCGCACTCAGAACACGTGTACCGCGGCTTATGACGCCCTAACCTCACTCCTTCGGTCCTTCCGATCCTTACCCTAGAACGTCCATCATTGAGTCCTAGGGAGCAGGGAGGGGCTACGTTCTCCGCATCACTACTACCTGCCGGAGACGGTGTAGGAGTAGAAATGAGGCTGGCCTCACTGTCCTCGTACAAGTGCTCATCCCCATTACACACTGTGGCCTCTGAGTAGCTAGTTGAGGGAGCCTCCAGGGAGTCACAGGAGGAAGCTGGCGTGGGAGGCTGATAGGAGTAGGCAGGAGCTGAACGAGCCAACTCCAGTAGGTCGTGAGCCGCTTCTGTCTCCTCCACAGGTCTTAGATGCAATGGAGTGAAGGTGTGACTAGACTGGTAGCTCGCTGGATGACTAGACTGGTGACTGGTCTGCTGGCACGAGTGTGGACTGGCAGGAAGGCAAGGCTGCTGGATGGTTGGTAGAGACGCTTGTTGACTGGACTCCAAACAAGCTTGTTGTTGAGCAGTACGCAGACAGGGCGTGTGTGTGGGCTGCTGGCGTGTGGTAGGCAGATAAGTCTGACTGGTGGAGAGGCAAGGCTGGTGGAAAGTCGTCGAGGTGGTGGTAGTCGTGTGTACATGAGCATAAGCATGGTCAGGGGTCGTAGGATAATACTGGAAGGTGCAGGTAAAACAAGGGTCTGCCGCCCGGAGTTCGTGATATACACCTGAAAAGAGAAAATAAATTGAATAAATTAGTATAAATTCCATATATGATGCACTAAATAACCACACACACACACACAACACACACACACACACACACAATATATATATATATACTATATATATATATATATATATATATATATATATATATATATATATATATATATATATATATATATATATCATGCCAAATAAGTAAAACTTGCGATTTTGGCTTAAATAGCAACACTCTTCTTGCCGAATAAGGCAAGCGAAAATTTGTGTATGAAATAATTTTGGAAAAATTATTTTGAACCTAACGAAAATAATATTTCACTGTTTATTATTCAGTTATTGTAAACCTCTATAAAAATATATTGGATTAGGCTAAATTTCGCTTGTTATAATAAGGTCAGGCAAGTTTTCTAAGGTTCCTTTGGTACAAAATTATTAATTTTTACATTAAAATAATGAAAAAAATTATCTTTAAACGTATAAGACAAAATTATAGAGAGGATATAATTTTAAATGCGTTTTTGATAATTGCTTCCCAAATATACTCCATATTCATCCAGTGGATGGCAGCAAACACTCACGGATAATCTTATACTCACTAATAAATAATTTTACAAATCACGTAATTATTGAATTATCTGTTTATACCTTCGTAAGTCTTCATCAGTCAGTCTGTGTATCAGTCAGACTGTCAGAAGTACCTGTAACCAAGGTTAAGTCTGGCTACTGCAATGTCAGTCAGTCTGTGTGTCAGTCAGACTGTCAGAAGTACCTGTAACCAAGCTTAAGCCTGGCTACTGCAATATCAGTCAGTCTGTTTGTCAGTCAGACTGTCAGGAGTACCTGTAACCAAGCTTAAGCCTGGCTACTGCAATATCAGTCAGTCTGTGTGTCAGTCAGACTGTCAGAAGTACTTGTAACCAAGCTTTAAGCCTGGCTACTGCAATATCAGTCAGTCTGTGTGTCAGTCAGACTGTCAGAAGTACTTGTAACCAAGCTTAAGTCTGGCTACCGCAATATCAGTCAGTCTGTGTGTCAGTCAGACTGTCAGAAGTACTTGTAACCAAGCTTAAGTCTGGCTACTGCAATATCAGTCAGTCTGTGTGTCAGTCAGACTGTCAGGAGTACCTGTAACCAAGCTTTAAGTCTGGCTACTGCAATATCAGTCAGTCTGTGTGTCAGTCAGACTGTCAGAAGTACTTGTAACCAAGCTTTAAGTCTGGCTACTGCAATATCAGTCAGTCTGTGTGTCAGTCAGACTGTCAGGAGTACTTGTAACCAAGCTTTAAGTCTGGCTACTGCAATATCAGTCAGTCTGTGTGTCAGTCAGACTCAGAAGTACTTGTAACCAAGCTTAAGCCTGGCTACTGCAATATCAGTCAGTCTGTGTGTCAGTCAGACTGTCAGAAGTACTTGTAACCAAGCTTTAAGCCTGGCTACCGCAATATCAGTCAGTCTGTGTGTCAGTCAGACTGTCAGAAGTACCTGTAACCAAGCTTTAAGCCTGGCTACTGCAATATCAGTCAGTCTGTGTGCCAGTCAGACTGTCAGAAGTACCTGTAACCAAGCTTTAAGCCTGGCTACTGCAATATCAGTCAGTCTATGAGTCAGTCAGACTGACTAATTTATAAGCTAAAGATTCACTCTTAGAGAGTGTCTATATACCTGGTATATATGTATAACTGTATTCTAGAATAAATCTTAGTCATTTCGCTACTAAAGTGCCATCAGTGACGGCACAGAATTTATGTTTGATGTCATTAAGATGGCAAATAATTAAGTTTCCAGCGTAGACGCCCAGTTAATTCTTATGCCTAACTTAGCATCGTTCTTATAGTCTATACCATAAGAATGGAGGAGCACTGCAGAATGCCTACTGGCCCATATAAAACAGCGGCTTATAGAAAGTCGCTTGTTATGCTGAGCATTTCCCGCAAATTAGGTCAATTTTGTCCCTGGATGTGACCCACACCAGTCCACAAACACCCAGGATGTGACCCACACCAGTCCACTAACACCCAGGATGCGACCCAGACCAGTCCACTAACACCCAGGATGTGACCCACACCAGTCCACTAACACCCAGGATGCGACCCACACCAGTCCACTAACACCCAGGATGTGACCCACATCAGTCCACTAACACCCAGGATGTGACCCACACCAGTCCACTAACACCCAGGATGTGACCCACACCAGTCCACTAACACCCAGGATGTGACCCACACCAGTCCACTAACACCCAGGATGTGACCCACACCAGTCCACTAACACCCAGGATGTGACCCACAGCAGTCCACTAACACCCAGGATGTGACCCACAGCAGTCCACTAACACCCACGATGTGACCCACACCAGTCCACTAACACCCAGGATGCGACCCACACCAGTCCACTAACACCCAGGATGTGACCCACACCAGTCCACTAACACCCAGGATGTGACCCACACCAGTCCACTAACACCCAGGATGCGACCCACACCAGTCCACTAACACCCAGGATGCGACCCACACCAGTCCACTAACACCCAGGATGTGACCCACACCAGTCCACTAACACCCAGGATGTGACCCACACCAGTCCACTAACACCCAGGATGTGACCCACACCAGTCCACTAACACCCAGGATGCGACCCACACCAGTCAACACCCAGGATGTGACCCACACCAGTCCACTAACACCCAGGATGTGACCCACACAAGTCCACTAACACCCAGGATGTGACCCACACCAGTCCACTAATACCCAGGATGTGACCCACACCAGTCAGCTAACACCCAGGATGTGACCCACACCAGTCAACTAACACCCAGGATGTGACCCACACCAGTCAACTAACACCCAGGATGTGACCCACACCAGTCAGCTAACACCCAGGATGTGACCCACATCATTCCACTAACACCCAGGATGCGACCCACACCAGTTCACTAACACCACGGATGTGACCCACACCAGTCCACTAGCACCCAGGATGTGACCCACACCAGTCCACTAACACCCAGGATGTGACCCACACCAGTCCACTAACACCCAGGATGCGACCCACACCAGTTCACTAACACGGATGCGACCCACACCAGTTCACTAACACCACGGATGCGACCCACACCAGTCCACTAACACCCAGGATGTGACCCACACCAGTCCACTAACACCCAGGATATGACCCACACCAGTCCACTAACACCCAGGATGCGACCCACACCAGTCCACTAACACCACGGATGCGACCCACACCAGTCCACTAACACCCAGGATGTGACCCACACCAATCCACTAACACCCAGGATGCGACCCACACCAGTTCACTAACACCACGGATGTGACCCACACCAGCTCACTAACACCACGGATGTGACCCACACCAGTCCACTAACACCCAGGATGTGACGCACACCAGTCCACTAACACCCAGGATGTGACCCACACCAGTCCACTAACACCCAGGATGCGACCCACACCAGTTCACTAACACCCAGGATGCGATCCACACCAGCTCACTAACACTCAGGATGCGACCCACACCAGTCCACTAACACCCAGGATGTGACCCACACCAGTCCACTAACACCCAGGATGCGACCCACACCAGTTCACTAACACCCAGGATGCGATCCACACCAGTTCACTAACACCCAGGATGCGACCCACTCCAGCCCACTAACACCCAGGATGCGACCCACACCAGTTCAATAACACCACGGATGCGACCCACACCAGTCCACTAACACCCCAGATGTGACCCACACCAGTCCACTAATACCCAGGATGCGACCCACACCAGTTCACTAACACCACGGATGTGACCCACACCAGTTCACTAACACCCAGGATGTGACCAACACCAGTCCACTAACACCCAGGATGCGACCCACACCAGTTCACTAACACCACGGATGTGACCCACACCAGTTCACTAACACCCAGGATGTGACCCACACCAGTCCACTAACACCCAGGATGTGACCCACACCAGTCCACTAACACCCAGGATGTGACCCACACCAGTCCACTAACACCCAGGATGTGACCCACACCAGTCCACTAACAACCAGAATGTGACCCACACCAGTCCACTAACAACCAGAATGTGACCCACACCAGTCCACTAACACCCAGGATGTGACCCACACCAGTTCACTAACACCCAGGATGTGACCCACACCAGTTCACTAACACCACGGATGTGACCCACACCAGTCCACTAACACCCAGGATGCGACCCACACCAGTCCACTAACACCCATGATGTGACCCACAACAGTCCACTAACACCAAGAATGTGACCCACACCAGTCCACTAACACCCATGATGTGACCCACACCAGTTCACTAACACCCAGGATGTGACCCACACCAGTCCACTAACACCCAGGATGCGACCCACACCAGTTCACTAACACCACGGATGTAACCCACACCAGTCCACTAACACCCAGGATGCGACCCACACCAGTCCACTAACACCCAGGATGCGACCCACACCAGTCCACTAACACCCAGGATGCGACCCACACCAGTTCACTAACACCCAGGTACCCATTTTATACTGATGGGTGAACAGGGACAGGGACAGCAGGTGTCTTATGGAAACCCGTCCTTAATGTTTTCTAGCCGTACCGGAGGAGATTCGAACCCCGGACCTCAGTGTGTAAGCCGAGTGCGCTAGCGGTCGAGCTAAAGGATATACAAAGGTGTTACATATCATCTCTCTGTAATTAGTTTTAAAAAACTTTAGAGTAATTTTAAACACTATCCATTACCTCCTAGAGCCAAAGAATAGTGTTTAGTGTTTACAAAGGTGGAGCATAATTAACCTGGAAAGTTAAAAAACACAGGATAACTCGAATTTTTTAAGAGTTACCCCTTGCAAATTTCTGTTTTCTTTTAACGTTATATTACACTTGTTACCCCTTTCACTCTACCATTTTCTACAGTGATTATTTTACAAGAGTTAGCCCTTTAAGCTTGCATTTTCTATTATTAGTTTACACGAG